GGTGAATTGAGGAACTCTTTGGCAAAAGTAGACATGAGATCGTGATTTGAGCGTGGGCTTACACCAGCCTCAAGGCGAAGCTATCCTCAGTTATGGTTGACCCATTTGACCCAAGATTGGGTGTGTTTCTTACGTGGTACACTGTCGAGAGTTCATCAAGTGCTGGACAAGGCTGGTGATGGCCCTGATGCGCTCCACTCACCCGGAGCTTGGGTCCGGGGACAAAGCGTAGGATGTCTTCGCCAGAAGATGTCGCAGCTGACTACACAAGTAAAGTTTGGAGTTCTGAATCGCCTGAGGCTTTTCTTACTGGAGTTGCACCCTCTCAACAAAAGACGTCCAGATGACCTTCCTAAAGACCGGGTTTGCTCTTGCCTAGCTCACGATGTGCACCGTAAACGAGGGTGACCCGAAGTGAGACCTTGGTGTTTCCTTGGATAATGTAATCATTGATTCAACTCGGCCATCGGTTTTCACGGGCACCGTCGTTGTCTCGGTGTCTCTTGAACGGTATGTTCAGCCAAGCCGTTCCTATGGTCTTAGTGTACAATTCTCATCGGCGATACCTGCCGCACTCAGCTGAATGATGATAGCGTTGTGGAATTGCCATGCAAGGAGTGTTTTGGGGAACCGCCATTGCCTCTGGGTCGGAGAGGGGCGCAACCGACCCAGGAAAGCGACCTGAAAAGGCACACGCAAGTGCGAGCGTCTTGCGTGCTTTGAGACTCACTCCATTGAAAGACGTAAGCGTGCTCCCAAAGCAGTATGGTAAGACAGCAAAGGCGAGAGAAGTGGGCTGGTAACGGATCGCGGCGGGTCAAGTGGTGGTGGTGGTTGCTTGCCTGAAGCTACAACAGCTTGAGATCGACCGAGAGACTAGCGCCGATCAGTCACCTGTGCACATGAATGCCCTATCGTACTCGCCAACACATGATCCACAGCCCTCCTGCACTCAACGACGCGTTCAGTCAAGCGTACGGGTGTATGCTAAACTTAACAGTGTATCAAGTGTGGCTACAGTCTCGTACGATGCTTGACCTTCCGCGCGGGGGCCAGGGTCATGCGAGTCCCTGGAGGACGCTAAGGACGCGCTAATCAATCGTGCTGATCGCCAGTCCCGAAGCGCTCTCGACCAGGTGTTCCCCACACACTCACACCACCTCTAGCCGAGCCACCTCTGCAGGCCCTCACACGTCACTACGTGTCTCGTACTTCGAACAGTAATACTGCTTGGAAGGCGACACAGTCTAAGGGGTCGTGCGACACAGTTGTGCGGCGCAAAAAACCGCCTATGGGTATGTCGCTTAACATTCTTCGCAGGCTTCCAGCTGCGGCATTGTTGGACGCGTCATATTGCGTGGAACATATCCCGCACTGCCGGAGATTGGAGGCCACTATAATCCGACCAGGATTGGGGGCTATAACGATGTCCTTATCCATATTCTGCACTGTATGCGGCTGCAGACACCTGGTCCCAAACCCGCCCAGATAGCTTATGTCCTTGTGCATAGCCATGGCCCTTCGCGAACGGTGTGAAAATTATTTAGCTGCATAAGCTGATCCTCCGGAAGGAAGGTAGAACAAAGACATCGAGTTCCTAGTCTTTGGCATCTACAGTCATCTTTGCTGACATTCCAACAAGGCATACCCCTCCAAGCGCATGTGTTGACAACCAAGCCACTCGCTGCCACGGGACGAGTACCAATAACTTCCACGAACATTTCCATCACGTCAAAATATACAAGACTGCCAAGTGAAGCGAGCGGTCGTCTAACAGGACCTCGGTCGATCTCTGATGTCGTGCATAAGCCACGGTACACCAGAGTGGACGCTCACCACAGCACGTGCAAGGAACGTCTATCGGATTACACCCTCTCTCATTCGCGTCAACTGATCCACCGCAAATTTCACGCAGACAGAAAAGTCGACCGCAGGGCTGTGTAGGCGTTACCCGCTCGTGGCGCCGACTATCTTGTGACGATAAGCATACCTGATAGGACAATCCTGCTTTCGGCCATGAGACAAGGACTGGCAAACATGTATGCTATCCCAGCATTAAAATCGCACTGATCAAGATTAGGCATCTCGATACTGTCTTGCGGATCATTAATCAGAGTGCAACATCTCATATCTACACTAAACAGCCATGCAATAGACTTCCTTCTATCTCTGGGGAGGGTGCGGCACAATTGCGTAAAGTCCTTGACGATAGGTCTGCACGCATAACATCCTACAAACCCTAGGGGTATCGCTTGACTGTATCTCCGATACTGCATTGTCCTGCAACACCATGTAACGCGATATGGACCGTCCGAAAATAACCAATTTCGAGATCTGCCGATCGTATGAACACGAAATCCTTCCATCGGAATGCACCAGGAAACACTTGCGCAGTCCATGGTTCCAGGTACATCCGCGCATCGCACACGTACGGGGATGTTCGAGCCATCCATATGGCCCACACAATTCTGTTGAGATGTGTAGCATGCACGAACTTCAGATGCTGTGCGTACCCTAGACCTGCGCCTTGCCGCATGCACGCCATTATAATCCCTTGCTTGACCTGCATTGCAGGCCGAGGACTGCGTTTCGGCTACCCTGGTTCGCATACAGAATTTTGCCTGCTGAGATACCTAAACGGCAAGTCGATACAACGCAAGAGAAAGATTGGTAAGTACGTCGGTGTCGAGCTAAATAGGAATGTGGCACGAGACACAATTTTATCATGTCAGTCCTGAGATGCCGTTCAGATTAGCGTATTATTGCGCTCTATCGAAAGAACCGCACTGAAGAGGACGACCAGTCAAAATAATCGAATTGAGTCCGCGTAATCACAGACGGGTGTGGTCCACTGCGACATGGTTACACGACTTCACCGGCAATAGCCCACGTTTCTTGGCTTCCTGGTGTGGACACGACAGCGGCAGCCAAACGATCCTGCTGCTACCCGTATCCGTACGCCTCAAAACGCCTCGAACCGCCCTACCCAGCTGACAGGATAGACGCGGTAGGCGATCTTACCAGTCATCGGTCTGGAACAATTCTACGGACAGACACCGAGTCTTTCGAACTCGAGACTTTTACTCATCAGACCACAGAGGGACACATGCACGGAAATTTGCAACATGCGGAAATTGACGCCTGTAATCGCCTTTGAACAGCTGAGTGATTAGGCTATGAGATGCGGGGTGGTGCAAGCGCCACCCACCAGGCCCATGTTATCTGTGAGGCAGTGTGAGCCGAATAAGATGCGATTGGATCTCCCCCACGGTTCGAAGCTGATTGCACGGTCAAGAGCGTCTTGATCTATGAACCAGCCCGCAGATGGATAAGTCAACACAGCGTTCGCCCGCTTCAATCATGGTCCTCAGCACCCATCTTTTCTCGTTCCACCGCGGCGTTCCACCACAGCAGTACTCTGCCTATTTCCTCCGACGCATAAGCTCGCTGGCCACTCAGCCAGGGAATCGTCGCAACCTGCGTCAGCTCGTGGTCATATTGCTTGTCAATGAGATCTTTAGGGATTGGAGTCCGGAGCAAGAGGCCGACTGGGAATGAGATTCATAGCGCGGTTCCGCACAACGACACCGATCGGGACGAGGCATTTGACGGACATAAGTGGACATGGAGTTCAGGACCGCCGTCGCACAAGGCTCGCATGCCTTCACACCCTCAAAGTAACAGCGTGAGTGCGATGAAAGGACTAAAACCGGGCCGCTTCAACAACAGTCGGCCGTGTTTGACGTCCCTAGACCAGCTATCGGGATGTACGAACCGGTGACTTGCATCAAAAGACCAGATCGTCTCTCGATCGACCTGGGCAGCCAAGGGACTGGGCCGAGGCTGGCTCTCAAGCAGATCTCAGGGTGCCGGCTAAGCGAAGAATGGATACCAGCAGTCGAGAATGGAACGGACAAAGGAATTCCTTGTGCGTCTGCAAGCCACAAGAGACAGCGCCGGAAATGCTTTTTCCCGTCAGCTGGCACTGCTGCACGGGATTATGTTTGCTTTTTCGGAGCTATCCGAGGTGATAGAATCCCATGGACCCTGGCAAGTGAGGACGACCAAGACTCTCCAACATGAGCGATGGGTACCATACCCGTTGCTGATATCGCGGTCAACTTCTCCGTGCCACTCGTCGTCGTCGTCGATATGTCTAGTTTGAGGAGTGGAGCAAAGACGAGCATGGGCAGCAAGTGACGGCCGAAAAAGCAAGTTCAGATGCAACTTTGGAAAGACCATCGAGTTGTATGCCCCATTCGTTGCATAATCTGCCAAACGAATAGGAGAAGATTAGAAGCTGCATTAGAAGCACTAACTACACACTCATCTAGAAGCTAAGCCTCTACCCTGCGGAGGATACCAAAGCCAACGCCCTGCTTTTCTCAGTCCTCTAAGCCCCACCTCAGCTTTGCATGTACAAGCGTGAAGGTCCTGTATCTAGGCCCAAGACGAGGGATTACCCTTTGTCGACGGTGATGGATGTATAAGACAAAGAGGGGATGAGATGTCTCATAAGGAGATCGTGGGGTTGATAAGCGAATTCGTCCTGTAACGCAGTGATGGTATAGTATCGTGTTATGATGGAGCACACAGATGTCAACTCCTTGGACTACAACTTCGACTTGGTAAAACAATCAGAAGAGTAGAGAATATAGATAACCCGTCGTGTCTCAATCTTTGCTGTTACGGAATAACACTTTCTATCATGGTGTATTTAAGGTGTAATTGTAGGTTATGCAGCGGGCATCGACAGTTTATACGCACATGTTCAGCCACAGGAACAGGACATCTAGACATTAGAACTCGGGTCAAGGTAGATCTTAAACACACATCCATGAAAGCTCCTGTATGGATTACTTCTAAATCGAGTAGAAAGCTCACAAAACACCGTCATCGACTTATATGGACATGTAATGTTTTGAACGTTTTAAAGCTAAAAGCCTCGCATGCTATTGTCTCATACATTCAACCAAGTACTCTTCAATCCTCCATAGCATTTAATCAAAACCCTCAAACCCACTCTCATCCGCACTCCCTCCATCCCCCTTCTCCTCCCCAATCTCCCTCCTCTTCGCCGCCTCCCTAGCCCCCTTCCTCTTATTCTCAATCTTGCGATCATACCCACTCTTACTACTAATCCTATCCACCTTGACCCCTTTGCCATCTTTGCCCTTCGCACCACCCCCAGCCCGTCTGGCTTCCACACCCCTCCTCTTAAGCATCTGCCTCTCCCTCTTACTAGGCGTCGGCAACGCATCCAACAACCACTGTTTGACACTCCCCTCACCCTCCTGCACCCCCCTCATCTTCTCGCTCGCTCGGATAACATTCGCAATAAGCTTAACAAACGGAATATCGTCTTGAGTGTAAAACGTCACAGCAACGCCTCCCTCGCGGCCAGCCCGCCCCGTCCGACCGACGCGGTGCACGTAGCCGGCTGCAGAGGACGGGACGTCGTAGTTCACGACGCCGTTTAAACCGCGGAAGTCTACACCGCGGGATAGCAAATCCGTGGTTATAAGGACCCAGATCTCGCCGCGACGAAACCGCGTCATTATGCCATCTCTAGCCGAGGAACTCAGATCAGCGTGGAGGACTGCGATCCGCGAACTACCGCCTGCTTCAGGCGGGATGTCGTAGAGGAGTTCGGAGTGGAGGGCGATGGCGCGGGGGATGGTTTGTGTGAAGACAAGAAAGGGGGGCCGGAGGATAGGGGTCGAAGTGGATGTGAAAACAGAGGTTGGATGCAGGAGTTGGCGCAGGCCGAGGAGCTTGCCTTGTTCGGTTGCGGCGTAGGTGAGTTGGTGGGATATATTTGGTATGGCGGAGTCTTTGAGGCCGACGACGAGGCGGATGAGGGGGGGTCGTGCGGGGAGGGTTGTGGTGGGCTGGTCTGAACGTTGGGAGGGAGGTGAACTGGAGAGGGCAGTCCAGCGGTCGTTCAAGGTAGATGTTGTCAAACTGTCGATATTCGAGCCCATTGTTGCGGACCAGAGACCGATTCGTAGCTTCGGATTCGTGCAGGCGTTCCATATCGCGAGGGTTTGTTCGCGGAAGAGAGGGTCGAGGAGGACGTCTGCTTCGTCGAGGACGAGTTGGGATACACTGGGGATACCCGCGACGGTACCATCCTTGCGCTTCAAGGCGTTCAGCAGAGCAAGTGGTGTAGCGACCAAGATGGCAGCTTTCACAAGCTCTGCCCGTCGACCAGCTTGCTTCTTCTTTGGTGCTGTCGCCTCCTCGTCTTCCGACTCGGACTCATCTTCGTCGTTGTCCGATACCTCAGCTTTTTCTGCGTCGTCCTGCGTCTCTTCTTCTGGCTCCTGCACAACTCGCATACCCTTCCTCATAAGCGTAGCCTTGACCGCCGTCCCCTTCGCCAATTTCCTCGCCTCATTGACAATCTGCGCAGCGAGTTCCCTGGTAGGAGCAAGAATAACGGCGCGAGGACCCTCTTTCGTATCCTGGATTTTGCCCTCCGCAAGCAGAGAATCGATAATCGGTATCAGGAACGCTATCGTCTTTCCACTGCCCGTCGGCGCCACGGTCAAAAGATCGATATCCCCATTATACTGAGCCCCAGACAAGCCCTCGGCGTCTTGTGTAGCACCACTCGACCCCTCACGCCCCTTCTTGCTCAGCAGCAACGGCAAAGCTCCCAGTTGCACCTCGGTAGGTAGCTTGTATCCCTGCTCCGCTATATTTTCCGCCAGTCGTCTCGAAATACCGTATCGCGTCCGTAACTGCGCAAACGAGGTGAGAGGCTGCGGGTAGAGCGACTTCTTCGCATCCTTTTTCTTCTCCTTAACCTCCTTCTCCTTCTTCCGCTTCTTCGACTTCTTTTCTTTGACTGGCTCTTCTGCTTGCGGCGCGAAGTCTTCCAGGACCGAAACCTTGAGTTTGTGCGAGCGCAGTATCCGCTTGCACTCGTCTACATCGTATGGGTCCTCTTCTATTTCCTCTGTATCGTTTTGAAGTCTGGCCTCTTCCTCCTTCTTCTCTTGCTGCTTCTGCTTCTTCCTCTGCTTCTTGGATAGCGTGCTTCCGTTTACGTCTGGTTCTTTGCTTGCACCGCCGCCGAAGAAGTCGAGATCGGCGGGCAGGTCGTTTGCGCTAGGAGATGCATCCCGGCCATTCTGCCCTCTCTTCCTCTTGCGACTGGTATTCGACGTGTCGGACGGTTGTGCTGGGTCGTCGTAGCCAAACAGCTGCGGGTTTGCGACAGCGCCGGAGGAGGGAAGCTTTTGCGCGGACGAGCTTGGCGCCGCTTTGGAGGATCGCGAGAGGAGTTTGAACACGTTCATAGTGGCGGGGATCAGGGCAGAGTCAAGAAGAGCGAGTTAGATCCTGTCCGGCATGGCGACTTGGGTTTTGTTCACACTGCAAAAGTTGGATGGATGCGCTCAGAAAAATAACTGGGCCGCGGCGATTCGGCGCAACTAGCGCCGATCATTCGAGCATTCACGCAGCTATCATTATCGTTGTTTGGACTGAGTAGATGCTTGGACTGAAGTAGATGCATTGCCAATAATTGCACATGTGTAGAAAATGGAATCTAAATCAGAGGTATGTGCAGTATACAGTATCGGATCCCTTGCATCCCGAGTGCACCGCAAACACACTTGCTCAGCTTCCCTGCCCGCCAAATCGTACAGTGTTTCCTCGCCGCCCCCTCGTCGTCCTGCTCGCTACCGTTGGAACCTTTGTGCATGCTGTAATAGTCGTGGTCGTAGCTTCCTCAGCTCATCGCACTCAGTGGTGCTCGTCCTTCTTGGTCCTGTAGCCGACAAGCTTGAAACGGCCGATGATCTCGCCAACCGAGAAGAAGCCAATCACCTCGGCGACAACTACACCCATCGAGTACCATTGTTCGCGGGGAATGTTCCGGACTTGTGCAAGGACGTTGGCGGGTTGCTGCGAGGCGCTGTTGGCTTCGCTGGCTACGCGGTTGAAGAGCGAGGTTGGGTTGCGGAGAGCGTTCAAGGCGGGCTGGATGTAGTTCTGCATCGTCTGGACGGATCTGGGTGCAGTTAGTAATTATTCCGATACTCCAGTGTGTCGAGCGGTGCTGCGGGGAGGCTTACGGTGGTTGCATGCTTCGTTGGTGGGCAATAAGCTTGCCGAGCTCGAGTCCGACCCTTCCGTAGTAGGTAGCCTTGGGAACCAGTCCTGTAGTACTGTCAGTCGATAGTTCAGTTTGGAGTTTTCCGCTGTTCTGCGACTCGCGGCTATCCGTCTGTCACGGGTGAGCCATGCAAATATGGCTGCGCCTGATAAGCCATGCAGAGCTGTTCGGACAAGCCAATGCACTCCACAACTTGCTCTCTCAGCTCAGACTACTGCACGCAATTCGCACATGGCCAATTGATACCCTCCCCCGCCGCAGAGATGGTGTGACTGACCGTTGACGAAGTTGACCATCCTTCCTACCCGTCCAGTGGCCTGCTGTGTCGCATTGTTGGCGGCTTGACCGGCACTCTGTGCGGCTGAGCTCGCCGAGCTTGTGACCTTGGTGAGACCCTCTGATGCCTTTGACTGTGCCTTTGACGCGGTTTCCTTTACAGTGTTGGTGGCTTCGGCGGTCGTCGAGGCATTGCGGATGCCAGCGCGGCGGACGGCGAACGTCGATTGCCGTATGGCGGCACGTGATGCAGCGAGAGACATGTTGATGCGAATTGACTGAGGGGAGATGGGGTGTCGCCGGTCGTCTGCTCGTCTCGTGAGGGTGGATGGAGCTCGGCAGTGACGCTTGGTTTTTCAGCGGAGTCCGTGCGCCGTCGCCGCTTGCCGGCTCAGGGGATCAACCATGTTGCCATTACAACCTCAACAATCCCATGCTAGTCACAATGAGGTCACTTTCGTGAGAGATTTATAGTTGTATCATGAGAAATACGTGCTTCACTATCGTACTCATCTCCAGGTTATACAACACTTCTCCAGTAGTAAACAATCTCCTCACAACACCATCACCAACTACCATCGAAACTCCGCTTCTTCTCCTTGGGCTGTCCCAACATCTCACCTTTGATCAGAAAGTTTAACTTTCTAATCTCAGTCCAGCGACTCAATGCGCCCAGCTCAAGCACACTCATCCTTCTCATCTTACCACTGGGGTTTCCAATCACAACAGCTTTCCAGTCACTGCCCCGGCCGACCTTTTCTAGGTCCTTGAATTCCTGCCAGGCTGCCGTGTCGCGACGGGTTCCGAATGTGTGGTTGGGTATAACTTGTACGGACTTGAAGCGACAGAGAACAAGGATCAGAAGCACAGTGATGCCAAAGAGAATGCCCGCCGTAGCACCCGTGGACTTTTGTGCGCCAAGACTTCGCGTCATGTTGCCGCCCACCATGGTTGCGACAGCGGCGAGGACGAAAGCGATGATCTGGCTAGCAAATATACCAGCAGTAACACGTGGAAAGGAGGTGTAGTTTGTCCTTCGCCTGCGATCTTGGACAGCCATGCTTTGCAAGCGATGTCGCGTGTTGACTCCAGGTTGCAAGTCACATGTATCGAACGTCTCCATCATCAGGCCATGGCATTCGGCTATGGCGAGGATACTGAGGAATCCTACAGCGCCAGCGAAGATAATGGGTACAAGCCATGGCTGAGGGCACCTAGCCGACGAGACAGTGTACGCCATGCCCATCAGCGGAAGCGTGAGCGTGAAGATGGCGCGGCGGACAAGATGGCTCGACCAGGTAACTTGCTTCTGGAAAGTCATCGAGTCGGTGCGGAACGCACTTTTCCGCTCACGGGAGAAGATGCCGGCTTTCGTCAAGGGGATGGCGAGGAAGGCGCCAATAGCTATCGATATAACGCCTGCGCCCACCTTTGTTGGTTTCCATCGGTAGTCTCGCGACAAGAGAGCGCCGAGAAGGACAATCACAAGTACCACCTGCGCGTAGATCCATCCCAGGTAGAGTGCCAGGACGAGGAAGCCAGGTTGGCAGAGCATCATTGTCATGAGCTTGATACCCGCCCACACTTCTTCAAACCAATACTTCGGTCCCTCGGTCTCGATATGTAACTTTACCTCACCCCGACTCACGCGCCTGGTAATATAGTTCTCGTCTCTGTCGTACACCTCAGTTACAGACTTCCGAAAGGGTGCGCGTCGCGTTTCCGAAGTCGTGATGTTGAGGACCAAGGCAAAAGCCAGAATCACGACGATAATGTAGAATCCCCACTGCGGCGATAGACGGTCGATGATCGCAGCGCCAATCTGAAAGCCGACGGCAATGGAAGCAATCCAGCACCATGACCAGATACCCAGCCACATACCCATACCCCCACCATGGCGGCGGACATCATTCGCGACAACGAACTCTTGGTGCGGATTCTTGGACTGTAGCGAAGCCCCAAAGAGGTCAAGCAGTACAGTGATGTAATTGACGTTTGCGAAACCGAGGACGAAACCAGATACACCGCGCGATAGCAGAAGGCCGACACGATACTTTGCCTCCTTGTTGTGGTAGCCGCTTACAACAATAGCTTGAGGGAACTGAAGTGGCAAGGCGATCGCTAGAGAAGCGAGGATATAGGGCTTTCGTCCGTGTAGGAGGGGCAGTGTCCAAGCAAAGAAGGTCGAGATAGCAAGTCCAGCGTAGAGCACTGCATTGCCTATGATCACGATGTGTCGTTCGTCCGCGAGAGAGTACTGAATTCGAGGTACCTCACCGGCGTAGATACCGACGATGATGCCAAGCAGAGCTGTGTTGATACATGCAATACTGGCGGTCAGACGCTTCTTGCCCGTAGACCAGTTTCTCGCAATTGGCTGTCTTCGGTGATGTCGATGAAGACTAAACGTATGATGGTGTGCCTGTTCCCGCACAGTGAGTTCACCGCCGTATGGTTTCGATGGCACATCATCTTCGTCGGATGAGCACTCGGTTTCACCGAAGCCTGAATCTCTTGGTTCGGACCGGGGCTTGGGTCGACACACAAGCTCTGGGCTGTGGTGGCGTCGATGTCGATGCCTTGTGGAATCACCGTGGTGGCGTCGGCGAGAGCGACCACGAGACTCATCTCGACCCACAGGACGGAGGACAAAATCCACATGTTCTCTCGGAGCTGGCTGAACGAGCTTGGGTAGAAGCAGATCGGCATGGACGTGGTCTCGTTCGCTTTTGCGGTCACTGGACGAACATGACGACGTAGAAGAACTGCTTTCTTTTCGCGCATTCTGATTCGAGTAGGCCCAGTCGTAAGACACTGATGCTCTTGGTAGGTCAGCATGCAGACGGACGTCGGGGGCGATATCATCCAGATTAGTCCGATCAACGACAACCGGGAGTACGTTGTGAGTGCGAGAAGGCGAGCTCGAAGACTCAGACACCTTCAGAGGAAGAGCAGTTGTCATGAGATATTCGGGCTCGGCGGTAGCGTCGTGTACGGCGTCTCTCGCCCCCTCGATAATCGTGTACAGTTCTTCCATTTGGCCCCGATCATCGGCAACCTCTGCAACCGCGGCAGCTTCCTGTACCATGTCTTCCAAGTCTTCTACTGCGTTGCTAATCTTTCGTTTTGCCGCCCGCTCGAAGGTAACGCGGGCTGGTGCCGGTTGCGTGGGAGACATTGTGACTCTAGAGATGACTGCCGGGGGTGTGCTGGTGCAATCTGACGTGCTGGACTGTTGAAGATGATTCGGGACCGGCGCGAGGCTGTCAGCGCGAGGGCGAGCATCGTGCACATGGTTGACCCCTGACTCGTCAACGTCTTGTTTGATATTTACGACAGAAAGCCTCTTTTGTGGTTCATGTGACTGCGATATGGACGTTCGATGCGCCGATCTTAATGGCGTTACTGTATTAGTCGCCAATGAGAAACGGCGCGTTTGGGCTTGTCGATGTCTCGTTACTGGAGAGGGGCTACTAGTAGCCGTTGATGGAACCCGACGTTCGCCCGCTGGTACTGATGACTTCCTTCGTGGCATCGGTCTGGTCGTGATAATGGGCTGAATCGTAGTCGCGACAGTCACCTTGCCGCTAGGTCGCGTGCTTGGTGATGGAGACGGCTTAGGGCTTTCGTGACCATCTACAGGCGAGCTGCATGGGCTTTCCACAGTCGTGCTGTTCTGACCATCCGTGAACGTTGCAGCCACGGCCTGTGAAGTTTTGTTGCTGAGCCAGGGAAGTCTGTCCGATGTCGTTCGTGTTCCAAGCTTCTTGCGTTCCGGCGCCTTCGTCGTCTTTGGGGGAGCGCTCGACGCCTTCGAGGCATTGTTCTCAGGCTCAGTCATGTTGTTAAGTGAGCGATCAATTGTACTGGTCTGTCTGAGACGTCGAACACGTGTGAACACGAGAGACGACAGTCTACGCGCTCATATGAAGTTTGCCGACCGAGTTGCTAGAGGGTTGGAGTGAGAAGTCGGCCTAGAAGGTGAGATGCAAAATGAATATGAGACGACCAGCTTCGACTGCTTGCAGGTAGGCGCAAGCAGGGCGGTGGAGGTAGAGGGTGTAGAAGAAGCTGGTCGTTGTAGCGATGAGACAAAGGATGGACGACTGGAAGGTGTGGAAGCGGTGTCGTGTGAGTGCGACAACATGGAGGTTGAGCTAGCTCGGTTTACTTGCCTGACGCACTTGGCCCTGGACTCGCTCTTTCCGTTGCTGCATACAAAAGGCGCCAGTGACTTGAAGGGCAAGTGCGACACTCACCCACGTTATCTGAAATCGTGGAAACGGCAGTCGTGGCATTGCAGAGCTTCTTGTATCTTGGAGGTATATCATACTACGTGCGCCATATCCTCACGACCGTATCGCTTCAAGCACAATCCCAGTCATAGCAAGCACCTTCTCCTCTTCCAGCCGTTGCGCAACGAGCCTACAAAGATTAGCATTATCATCACCACAAAGAAGCTTCATGTAGTACTTACTGCAGACTGACCGGCAGGCCATGAAGCAGTTCAGGATTATCTGGTATTCATTAGTCATTATCAACTGTGAGAAGATGTGCCACTTACAGCTATCATAAGCACCCTGACAGTAATCGCTCTGAGCCTTATAGTCACTCGCATACTTATCCAACGCCTTATCGACCGAGATTCCGCAAGGAAACGACGTAGCAGAGTAGTCAACCACGTTGTACACGCCGGTATATCCGACGTATTTGAAGTCGCCGTGCGCTACGCTTGAGTATGGGGTTGTTGGAGCTAATGATTGTTAGAAACGAATGATTCAACAAAGCCAGTTCTCTGCCTACCTAGAATGGCATCGAGTCCCTCAATGGCCATCCACTGTTCCAAGTATTGCCGCTGTAGCTCAGATCTCTCCGTATGCAACTTCCACATGTCATAGACACCCAGCTCTTTTGCGTCTTTGTACTGGAGCATTTCTGGCCGGTACGGCTCGCCTGTTACGCCGAGTAAAGCCTCAACGCTCTTCCCTCCATCAGCGACGAACATGCGCCCCAGAAGTTCTATCGCTTTAGCATGCAACTTTGGATTCCAAGCCAAAACTTCATGCCCAGCCTTCTTCAGCTTGACCGCCGTCTCCTTCAGCGCACGTGTCACAGGCGGTGTAGGCAAACAAATACCGTCGTTGTAAAGCACCGCGATCTTAAGCTTCTTAGGAAGATCTACGTGCCGCCACGGTATCGGCAGCATCTTTGGGTCTAGCTTCCAGCACTCTGCGTCGATGATGGCTTTGGAGTACATGGTGATATCCGACAGTGTCTTTCCCATGGGTCCGTTTACGGATTGTACTGCTTCCTGGCCAGCGAGACCGGATCTGCATCGTTGTGTGGTGAAGCGACCGAAGGAGGGGCGCAGAGTGAAGATACCGGTACATGCCGCTGGGATACGCAAGCTGCCGCCCTGGTATTGTTAGATCTGAAGGTCTAGTGCAAAGTGGTACTAACGATGTCTGTTCCGACACCCAGAGGGCTCCCTCCAAATGCGATGAGGGCTGATTCTCCGCCTGAGGATCCACCAGACGTGACTTTGCGGTTGAGCGGGTTGACGGTACGGCCGAATGTGTTGTTCACGGACTCTGCCTGTGTCGTGTCAGTTTTCAGCTCGTTACATATGCGCGTGTACGTACGATCATCATGGCTGTTGGCACATTGGTCTTGCAATACTGGACAGCGCCCAGTCGACGCAGTATCTCTACCAGCGTCGCATCGTATTCGGCCGGTTGGTTCACTAACGAGGTGAAGCCTACGGTGCTGTCTTTCCCCTTTACGTTGAAGTTGTCTTTAAGCGATATAGGCAGGCCATGGAGCGGTCCTACGGTCTTGCCAGTTCGTTCGAGATGCTCATCGAGGGATTTAGCTTGTTGCACCGCTTCATCGAAGAAGGCGTCGCTGAGACAATTCGTCTATAATCCATCAGATCACCTCAACTCTACTCCACAAAACTCTGCCATACCAGTTGATGCGCTGCTGCGGCGCATTTGCAGAACGCGACCGTGACGTCTTCGGCGCTCCATGCTTTCGACGCGATCTTCTCGAGGATATCTGACGCGGTGCTCCCAGTGATCGCGAGTTCTGACTCCGTAAGCCATCCAGATTCTCTGGGCCACGTCGTGACATCGAGTTGTGATTCCGGTGGAAACTTGTCCTGGGGTATGCGGTATTGAGTCGGAATGGATTCCGCGAGGGCGGCGCGCTTCCCCGCGGCAACTTTCTCCCAGTTCGCTTCAGATGTCATACTTCAGGACTTTTTGCAACACCAAACTACCGTGATATGGATGATTGTGGTATCCAAGTCTATTGAATTAAAAGAGGAATTTGTAAACATCTCCGTGCGTATCCTTCGCCATTCCGTATTCCTATCCTCCCCACTCTCGGGTCCATCTGCGCCGCGGTCCATACGTGATGGCGGCCCTGAACCGAAGCCATCGAAGGCGTCGACAGTACCATTCCCCGCATTTACACGCGCCCAAGCCAGACTAACTCCTAGCAGACATGCCGCTCAGTCGGCCGAGATAGACTGCCGTTGCTCGAGAGGATATACCTGCCGTGTTGAGATTCAGATACGCCTGCCCAAGCACCCGATACCGGCAATCAGCTATCCAACCACAGGCGTCATGATCGTCGGTGAGGGTTACTGATTGTGAAAGCTCCGAGTCAGGCATAAGTGGCGTACTATCATCCATATCTCGTTCCCAGCGTCTATCGGTCCTTTCATGCATGGACGGACAATGTCACCCGAAGAGATTCGAGACTACATACAGAACTGATAACGGCGATTGCTTGAAGACGCGATAGAATCGTCTTTCGTCGCGCAACCTCATATCTTCAGCGACGAGGCGCATTACCTCTGCTCAGCTGAGGTCAACACTGCAACATCTCAACTTTGAGATAACAATCTCCAAAATGGCCAACAGCTTCATCGCCTATCTTCGAGGCGACCAGAATGCGCCAGGCGAGCGCAAGCTGGTGCAGAAGCTCGACTTCTTCATCCTTACTTTCTGCTGTCTCATGTACTTCCTGAACTATCTTGATCGCACAAACCTCAACAATGCGTATGTTTCTGGCATGAGGGAAGAGTTGAGCTTTAAAGGCAACCAGCTCAATCAAATCAACACTGTTTTCACTGTTGGGTGAGTGAGCATGCAGGAAAAAGACACGAGAAACCTCTACTAATTGTCACTATCCTCAGATACACCATAGGTCAAGTCCCATGCAACATAGCCCTCTACTACATCAAACCCCGCTACTTCTTCCCAGCATGCATGGTACACCTCTCTCCACCCCCCTTCACACTCACCGTATTCTAACAAACCCACACAGGTAGCATGGGCCGGCCTAACAATGGTAACAGCCGCGGCGCAAAAGCCGCAAGACATAATGGCCATCCGCTTCTTCCAAGCGCTCTTCGAATCCTCCACCTTTGTAGGAACCCACTACATCCTGGGCTCCTGGTACACAGAAAAAGAGCTAGGGAAAAGATCCGGCATCTTCACTGCATCGGGTCTGGCAGGCACGATGATAGGCGGGTTTATCCAGACGGGGATTCATAGTAGTATGGATGGGTTGAGGGGGATGAGTGGGTGGAGGTGGTTGTTTAGTAAGTGTTCAATTCTAATCATGCATCTACATACACATGTATTAACATCGTTCTCAGTAATCGACGGCATAATAACCCTCCCCGTAGCCCTCTACGGTTTCCTGCTCTTCCCCGGTAAGTCCTGGCTATACGAAATGCATATGAGATATGTACTGACTTCATACCTCTACCTCTGCAGACACCCCCCGCAACACCCGCGCCCCCTACCTCTCCGCCACCGAAAAGGCACTCGCCATATCCCGCGTCCCCGAAGTCAGCGAACGAACCCCCATCTCCTTCTCCTTCCTAAAACACTGTTTCTCTACGTGGTACTGGTATTTCTTCGTCATCCTGTGGATCCTCGCCGGAGAAACCGAATCCTTCAGCACAAACGCCTTGTTGCAACTGTACATGCGCTCTCATCCAACGGAAACATACACCGTAGCCCAGAACAACAACTACCCAACCGGCGTCCCAGCAGTCGGCATAGCATCAACCCTCTTCTGGGCGACCCTCACGGATTTCATGGGCGGAAAACGGTATCTAGTCGGCTACTGGATCGCAGCCACCGGCATAATTACCTCCGCGCTCATACTCGCCTTTCCACACTCCACACCCATCCACTTCGGCATGTACTACTGGGCGGGCAGCGTATACGCCTGCCAAGCCACGTTCTTCGCGTGGGCGAACGATGTGCTAAGGTACGAAGAAGATAGTCTGAGAGCCGTGGTGATAGCCAGTATGAATATGGGGAGTAATGCGATTAATGCTTGGTGGAGTATTTTGTTCTACGGGGCGGATATGGCGCCGTATTTTACGAGGGGTATGTGGGCTATGATTGCGGTTAGTATTGGCATGGGGGTGTGGTGTGCGGGCGGGGTTTGGTGGCAGAAGAGGAGTGAGGGGAGGAGGGAGGGGAGTGTTGTGCATGCTGAGGTTAGGGGGAAGGGGGAGGAGGAGGGGAGGTTTGCGGGGGGTGAAGGCGAGGTAGAGAAAGTGTAGTCGACTTTGGAGTTGTTGTACTAGAATTCTACTTCGCGGCTCGAGGAGCTAATACAAACGCCTTGACAACGCCGAATTGTTATGCAATCATACTACCATCCATCCATCAAGAGCACAAGACCTATCCTACCCTATCCTATATTTCTCATATCAAGCCCCCTATGACACACCACCGAACCTTTGGCTCGCCCTCCCGCCACGCATACTATTCATGAAATCAGCCGAAGGATCACTGCCCAGTCCATTCCAGCCATTAGCACCAACACGCTGGCCCTCCCTCTGCGCCTTGTTAATCTTCTCCTGGAGCTGCGAGGCCCCCGAGTCGATAAGCTGAAGCTGAGCAAGCTGTGTGTTGAGGACGCGGACGACTTTCGTGAGGGGATCGTCTGGCTTGCCGGTCTTGCTGAGCGTCTGCGATGTGTTGTTGATCTCTTCAATCATTTCCGTGAGGTCTTTGTTGAGTTCGTTGAGGCGGTCTTGCAGTTTTTCGGCGAGCTTGTAGCTGGGTGATTGTTAGTCATTGTGCAAATTTTGAGGGACATAGATACAACTTACGTCCTCTCGCGCTCTTGGTCTGGGCCGCGAAGCGTCTCGTTCTTGCCGCTGACACCGTGCATCTTCATGAGGTTGTCAATCTCCTTTTCGTAGCGGTCGAGGTAGGAGTCGAGCTCTTGCTGGTTCTCCTCCATCATCGTTAGCTGCCTCTCGACTTCGGCGGCGTCACGCTCGGCTTGGAAGGTCTTGGAGTATAGTTGGCGGACTTTGTCGGAATTCTCGACGAGTGCCCTGTCCCATGATGCGACTGTTTCGGCTTGCGATTGGAATTCCTTCTGGTACTTGGATAGGTCGGCGGCCCAGCGGGTGATGATCTCGTCCATGGACTTGTTCTTCAGTCGTGATTGCGCTGATGGTGCGGGTCCGGCGGTTGATGCAGCAAGTCCGCTTTGGCCTGCATTGTTTCCGCTTGTCGCTCCAGGGGCTGGAGTTGGCTGTGAAGTGGTGTTGGACGACGCTGCTGGTGCTTCGCTTCCTGCAGGCTTGCTGAACAAGCTGGGAGTGGCTCCAGATGTGGTGGTGGTAGCAGCTCCAGAAGCAGCGGATGTAGTGTTTCCGCCTCCCAATCCACTTCCAAGGCTGGGGAACAAGGATGCGTTTGACGATGCGGTTGTCGTAGGCGCACCGCTTGTTGCAGTGGTTGTAGCTCCAGTTGTTGCAGCGGTGCTGGCAGGAGCAGCAGGCTTGGGAAAGCTGAAGCCACCGCCCGTAGATGCTGGTGTGGAAGCCCCCGCAGGCGAGAATAGGCTCGGTGCTGCAGAGCCAGATGACGCAGCGTTGTTTCCACCGAGACTGAGGCCCGAGGTTGCAGTGGGCTGCGTAGAAGCTGGAGCAGCGGATGTTGTGCCCAGGCTAAATCCTCCCAATGGCTTCGCGGGTGTCGAGGAGGGAGTGCTGCTGCCCAACCCACCAAAGAGACCACCTGCGGGTTTGGAAGCCTGCGCGTCTTGTGAAGCAGGCGCTGACGGACCACCTCCGAATAGGCCGCCCGAGGGAGTAGACGCAGGTGCAGCGGGCTTGTTCGCATCGCCCGAGGCGCCTGTGTTTCCTCCTAGGCTGAAGCCGCCTGAAGGCTTTGCGGCAGATTGTCCAGATGCAGCGCCGAATAGACCAGGTGTGGAGGACGCAGAGGTTGCTGCTGGCTTTTGGCCGAACAGCGAGGATGTGCCTCCGCTAGACTGGTTGTTCTGGCCGAATAGACTTCCACCTGGAGGTGCGCCGGCTGGAGTGGTGGAAGGGAGGAAAGACGTCTTGTTTGCTGCTGGCGTAGCTGTTGGTGTCGAGCCTAGACGACATGTCAGCAGTCGCGTTGGATGTCACAGATATGCCCAGCTACTCACTACCTGCTCCGCCGAATCCACCAAATGGAGAGCCGGAAGATGCTGGCGCGGCGCCAGTTGAAGCTCCACCGAAGAGTCCACCAGCTGGTTTTGGCGCATCTCCCTCCTTCTTCTGTCCAAAACCAAAACCGCCGCCGAAACCTGGTGTTGAGGATGGGGCGGGTGTAGCTGAGCCTCCGCCAAACAGACCACCACCAGGCTTGGATGCAGGTGTATTGGATGCGCCGCCGAAAAGACCGCCTGAGCCGCCTGAATTAGCTGCGCCACCGCCAAAGAGGCCGCCGCCGCCGCTGCTAGCTGGTGTGCTCGAGGTGTTGTTTGCGGTGCCGAAGAGAGATGGCGTCGCGCTGCCAGTGGAGGGTGCAGCGCCAAACAGCGACTTCTGAGGAGTGCTGCTGCCGCCGCTGTTGTTGGCAGCGCCGCCGAATGTGAAGCCGCTCATGATGGCGGGTGTGGAGGAGAGCTCTGGTATTTGTTGTTGATGGGCGATGGAGCTGTTGTGGTCGGCGAGATATCGAGAACGCGCGAAAGTCTAGTCGTGTCGCGCCCGGGGATGCAATGGTCGGGCCGCTAATGGACGAGGTCAAAGAATTGCGCGTAGTCGTGTATTCTCCTCACGCGCATCGACGTCGCGCCCAAAAGTTAGACAAACAGGTGCAAGGGTCAGGGCTTAGCTCCGGTGAATTGTTGTTCCCACCTTCCCGCTGCTGGAGCGTCCAGACCGCTCGTCCCCGCTAATCGAGCGTGCCTGAACGACGACACGCTCAAGCAACGAGGCGCAGTCTCCTGTCGCCTTCGCAGATCACTCCTCCGCCGCCTCTATAACGGTGACCCAAGTCTCGACGACTTCTCCCACAACACACACCCCGTCAAGTATAGCCAAATCAATTGCCTCGACATGCCGGACGAGCTAGCACCACCCCGCAAGAGCGTAGAGCTGGAAGACCCCGGCGCGAAAGAGCTGGGTATGTCGTCTTGCTCATACGGTGTATTCATTCTAACATCACACAGCCGACTCAAGCGACGAGCACTTCTCCGATGCTACCGAAGGCCAGCCTGCGCGGTCGGACATGACCTCGCCCATTCCCATCACACGAGTCGAGCGAGTCGACGACGAGCCAGCCCACGGCGAGGTTCCCGGAACAGACGCATACAACATGCGCACCCAAGACGCTGTCCCGGATGAGGTTGAGATTGTCCCAGAAGGCGCACGAAGTCGCAGTGCCTCGCGCGTCAGCGTAAGCGATAGGCCTCTGACACCAGGAGGAACACCAGTGCCCAAGACAATTGTCGAGAAGATCGACCCCGACCAGCCCAGCTACGGCGATGTCCCCGGTACACTTGCCCACCAGCAACGTCTGGCCGATGCTACGCCTGACGTGGTTGTCAGAGCACCGGAGGAGCCTTCCCAGAGCAGCAGCAATCCAGGTACGTAGGGCATTTCCTTGGTGCCTCCTGCGTACCATTGACGGAAGAAGGGTCACCAACCTCGCATGACAGGTCCCCAATAAGCCCGAGTGACGGCGCAATCGAAGCCGCACCTGAAACACTTGCCGAAGCCGACGCCGACGCCTCGATCGAGCAAGACGACGACTTTGGCAACGCCGAGGGTGACGACGATGGTTTTGGCGATTTCGACGACTTTGAAGAAGGCGAAGAGGGTGACGATGATTTTGGGGACTTTGACGATGGGTTTCAGCAAGGCGAGGACGATGCAGAGACATCATTTGATAAGCCCCCAGAACAGCCTCCTGTACCTGCCCCCTCGCCAGGTCCTGTAAGTCGCAGCAATTCTAGTCCACATACATTACTGCCTTGTCCGCTTGCCTTGGTGACATCTGACTAACCTCTCCTTCTACAGCCCGTCTTAGACTTTGACCAACTCACATCACTTGAAGATATCGTCTCAGCAACACAGCCATATCTTGATGACATGTACCCTGCACAGGACGGCATACCCACAATATCCACCAATCCCGAGGAAACACGGTCCATCTTCCTCTCGGAACGGAGTCATTCATTATGGACACAACTAGTGGCACCGCCGCCACTACAACCTCCCGACTGGGTCCGCTCACGCATACGGCGGCTATTCTTGGTTTCCCTAGGTGTACCCGTCGACCTCGACGAGATACTCCCCGCGTCCAAACAAAAGAAGCTCATCCTCCCTTCAATACACATACCCGGCGGCTCGCCGCGCCCCTCTTCAGACGGTCGAAATAACGGCGGTCCCTTGGGACGCATCAAGCGCGAGAACGAATCATCCACTTCAGTTGACTCATCAAGTTCAAAGCCTGAGCGGAAACGCAAAGGACCGCCACCACCACCGGAACTGGATATCAGCAGTACCATGCAGCTTTGCGCCACAACAGACGCAGCACTGCAAGGGCTGACAGACGAAGAATTGAAGATGCACATCGACCACCTAAAGGGCCTGCAAGAAAGAGCAAAGGAGGTGTTCGAGTACTGGCAGAAGAGATTAGAAAGTGCACTAGGCGACAAGGACGCCTTTGAGCAAGTCATCGAGAGTCTGGTTGCGCATGCGAAGAAGCTCAGGTAGCCATTCTCATGTTCCCGAAATGCAATTTAATCATATTTCCATTGAGGCAGCCACGTTTTGGAGATTTCGTTTGTATCTGACCCCTTGTGATTCGCCAATGTATTCATTTCTTGGGTCAAGCGAACCACAGTTGTAACAGAGCTCGCACATTCTAGTGTCAAAATGATTGGAATAAAAGGGTGGGAGGATCTTTTCTTTCTCTTGGAGTATCTTCTTGTGGGAATACATTGCAGGACCTATCTTCTGAAATATTTCAACTGCCGCAAGAGAGATTACCATGTCATATACTACTACCAGGACCACTACTACTACCTTTACCACCACCTATACCAGAACCACTAGAACTATCTACACAAATACCGCGGCTGCTACAAACATCACTGTTATCACAAGTCGTACAAGCCCCGCAAGCACGAATACCACCACAACCACAACCGCAACCATGCCGTTCATCGAACTAAGCAACACACCTGCCCGGACGCGCACAGCACCCTACGGATCACGCTCGGCCTTTACCAATTTCGGCCTGAAACAAATCCGCACAGCATGCCTCGCAGCACACGAAGACAGCTGCTCAATCTGCCTCGAAGCGTATTCAGACACCGACCCGGCTACAAAGATTAAAATATGCCACCATATCTTCCACAGATCCTGTTTAATGACCTGGCTCGAATCCTCGTCAACATGTCCCATGTGTCGAGCGAAACTCTTCGCTCCCGCACTATCACCATATTGGTCCTATCACCCATTGCCTTCAATGCGGGACCTCCGGATTGATACTACAAGCGAACGTACGAATCCGAGGAGGAATTTGTTTGAGAGGAGGGGTGGGGTTGGGGGCGTTCCTGCGCTACCGCTGCCGCATGCAAGAACGGATACGGAGTTGTCGATGATGGTGGGGCGTGAGGAGAGGGATGGGCCGGATGCGTCTGATGCTTTGGCGACGTGGAGGATGGCGGCTTCTGAGGAGGGGAGGGAGGGGAGGGAGACGGGGGAGACGCCGCTGGATTATTGATGGGATGGGAGGTGTGGGATGAGTTTGGGGGTGCATGTATTCTGCAAATGTGTTTTGAGGTTGAGAGATTATGAGAGATTACGTTGTTGGAATGGATGATGTTTGATGAGTTTTGATGTGCATGTAGCCTGCGGACATGTTTGAAGTTGAGATCCTCCAAGAGACTACGTTGAAGCAACAGAGGATCTAGCACCTCGAGTGAGGGATCTGTATTCTGCAAACACATCCTGAAATCGAGAAATGTCGGTCGATAGGCTTGCTCCTGGAAAGTGAGCGTAGAGACTACGTAGTCGCAAGAGAGGATTCAGCACAACTTGTTGGGTGTATGTATTCTGCAAACACGTTTCTGAGTGAAGAGTTTCCAAATTTAGATGGCTTCCTTGTGTATAGTGGAGGGGTCCCTAGGTGGATACATAGTAGGCAAACCGTACTAATTCGTCACGATCCACATGACTGATCTTGGACATGTATATCGTGTTGAGTGTCGTGAAATACCTTGATGTTGCAAAAGCAAATCTAATTTCTGTAGGGTTGTCCGCTGCGTGGAACTTGCTCCCGGGGCGAGGACCCGGGGAGTGTTCGGATGCGCCGACCGGGTTCCCCAATCTTTCCTTGCTTTGGTGCAACGGCGAGTCGATTTTGGACAGCGCAAGAACACGTCCTCGCAGGTTAGCCAGCATGTGCCGGCATCCGCTCAGACACGCTTACTGCAGTCGGCCGGACGGCCGGGAGAGACCCTGAGCGAAGCGACGTGCTTTGTGAACAAGCGTACCCCACCGTGCGCACCATCACAGAGCCCCTCTGTCAGCTGTCAGTCAGCGCACGATAAGATATGAAGAGCATCGCCACACTGCGTATTGCGATCGATGGCGCTGAAACCACGGCACGAGTACGGCAGGTGCAGTGGCATGCAGATCAAACAGGAGAGCAGCGCAGAGCTGCCGTGGCTAATTTAGAGGCGCCTTCACAGTTGGCCGTGGGCGTTGAAGTCCTTGGTGTCCGCGGTGTGGTGCGATGCTAGGCGATGCCTGTTCCGCGCGCCGTTAGCAGCGAATAGGGGTAATTTGCCACACTGGTGGGTGCAGGTGGCTTCGGTCGCACTGCCATTCGTCGCTCTGTTCGTAAACTCGTACGTGCTAAGAGATGGCACGCGGACGGGAAATGCATGGTCACACTTCATTTCGCGGGCCATGACGTCGGCGGTGTGCAGTGGTGTTGTGCTGGAGGGCTGAATTTGCGGTGGTTTGTTCACCAAGTGGCCGTTGGCAGCCATAGTCCGCCCTGTCCGTTTCTGAGCTCGGCCGTGCACGTGTGGACCCACCCGTGCAGCACGCAGCGCTACCTAGGCAGTTCGCGACGTAGCGCTCAACTGTCATCTTCGCGTCCAGTCTGCTTTCCCAACCCGGCAGCATGTCGGGCAATCCTTTTGGCAGTGAGGCAGCATAGTGTAGCACGCTGCGTTGGGCTGGCGTGTTCCGTCTCTCAAGTGCTCTTCCGCCGCGCTCCCCTCTGCTCCTCCATCGTGTGGCGTGCGGCTATTCTTCACGCTGCCTAGCTGCTAGATCCGATCCCGCGCTAGCCCTGTTTGAGCCATACTGGATATCCATTCCAGCGGGGCCCCTGCTTGCGCTTCCTCGATACCTCTCGAGTTCATCTCGCGATCCATCAGCATCCTCGCAGCCGTCTGCACCGGCAGACTCTTCAGTCCCTCCTTTGTCCGTTCTCGCCTGCCCTCGCACCGAAACTTGACCCACCGCACTTCCGTCCTCTCCCCCGTTCCAGATGCGCACATAGCAGCCTTTTGAGCCTCGCACCCTTCCACCCGCCGCCACAATGGCCGCAGAGACGTACTCGAGCGTCTCAGCCA